GAAATATAAAAATTGATAAAAGAAACAAACCAATTTTGCTGCCAAATGTTGCTCTAGTCAAGTAAAGGCTTTGAAATAAAGTAAATATTGTTCTTTGCCGGCCAAACGTAAAGCTATCGAAAACACTACAAAAAATTTCATTATTGGGAAATTATTTTCAAATGTAAAACACCGTTTCGCTGTACAATAATATATTTTACCAATTATTTCTATAATACAAAAACCGTGTGTACAAAATAATATTGTATAGTAATTGAAAGGGTGAGTGGAAAAAGGTGTTAACTGACAATTTCAAAACTATTCAGGAGGTAACATTTTAGTCAATATATAATATATATATATATATATATATATATATATATATTCAAATGTTTGGAACGTTTTTAATTTTTTTGTTCAACTACACATTCAACTGTTATGATATTTTGCTAAATTGAGTTGTACAATATCCTAGCACTTTCATTCGTTCAAACTAAAAACTGTTTTACAACAAATGTGTCAGTTAACACCTTTATCCACTCACCCTCCTTTCAATTGTTAAAACAGTTTCAAAATAATGTTTGCATCATACTTTGACGGATAAGCGAATATTGCTGACAGAAATGCTTCAACGAGAATTACACATACAGTTTACAAATTCATTTTAACCGCTAAAATGCGCCCATATGTACTTCTGTTTGATAAAAATATATACCAAGGTCGCCGTTTAAGCCGTTTCAAACAGGTGTCCGAAACGGTTTTCTAGACTAGGTAAACTTATTTATAGGTCAAAAAGGTTTTACACGAAACTTTTCACTTTCAGAAAAAATAAACTTTTACCCCAACGGTACTCTTCCAAAATCCACCGCGTACGGTCCGTATAACGATCCGCTGGGTTGACTAAACTTTACACCCGGATATGTTAATGAGATACGGTCTCGCCCGGTAACGGTAAAAGTACCGGCGACGGTCAAGCCGGTAATAACATCCATCAAAGACCGTACAGGTTAATAATTGTAATCTAAATTCCAAGTTGTCTCTGTTAATCTCTATTTCCCTACCTCACCATAGGTTATACTTAAAAGACTAGCACAAAAAAAAAAAAAATCATTCGGATTGACATTACTATGTGTTATGTGACCGAGACGGTTCTTTATGAGTGACTAGAAAAATCCTTCAAATTCCCTTGTTATTATTTTTCGTTTTTTTTAATTTTTTTAAGAAGCGTTATAACATTTAATTTCGCCATCTTATATAATGACACTTACATATAGAGGTCTCGCCAACTGCCGCTTGATATTTTTCATTTATTTTCATATCCGGTCGTCGTTAAATTAATTCATTTCGAGAATTCGCCGAGAGCTTTCTTATTATTATTTTTCGCTGCATAATGTTATTACGTTACTAAATTATATTAGTCGATGTAAATTATCTTTTATTGTAACACTCGGAATGACTATTTTTCGGCCATTAAAACCAACAACGCTCGATAAGGTCGAATAAAACAATTATCTCTGGATGGTTTAAAAAACAACTATTTGTAAATAAATATCAAAAAGTATTTGTTGTCTGTACAGCGAATGAAACTTTTGTTGTTTTATTTCATTTATTATAATACTGCGCACAGTACAACAGTAACGTCATCGCCAATGTAACGCTTTGTCATATTTATATATATATATATATATATATATATATGTGTGTAAAAAATAAACTTTATGCCCATTTCTGGTGTACATATGCCGTACCGGGAAAAAAAAACGTTTTATCAAACATGGATGTGAATGATGTGCACAAACTTTGTTCTTAGAACTAAAACACAATTGCGCTCATCAATTATGTCGACTTCGGTGTTTACAATAATCTCTCTGTATTCGATTTCCGTGCGGGCAATGTATAGAGCATGTTTTAAAATTAATGATACCACTAACATGGTAGTAGCCTAACGATATTTTTTTTTAGACATTTATCGATCATAGCATCGCCTCGACACACTCAATAACGGGTGCGCTGTTGCACTAGCCAGTGTGTACGATATTATGCACATGTCGCGGCATAATATATCACATTATTATTACTATTATAATATATAATATAATATGAAGTATGTATATACGCTTTCGGCGGACGCACAAAAGAATATTTTCTTAGCCGACGAACACATTATACTTACAGCGGCGAACCCTCCCCTCGACTCGGTCCACATGGATGTGGTAGGTCCTTTCTCCCCGTCATAGTTTTGGCGATTAAATTCACATGCGCCGTTTCCAGAGGGAGAGAGAGAGAGAGAGGTGTTTTAATACTACCGCCGTCGCACCTCGGTCCGTATGGTCCCTAGGGGGCTTTGGTGCCGAAGATAAAACGAGAGACTATTAAATTTACAAGCCCGGCAATGATAAGGTAGCAAAAAAAAAAAAAAAAAAAAACGCAAAGGCTACTAAAAGCAGCCGGAGAACAGAGACGGAGAAAAATACACATCAAGCAAGAGAAGAGTATAACTCTGTTTTAGACTACCGTGTATATGATCCGGTTCTAGGTAAAAAATATCCAAAAGAAAATATGTCCAAATATGTCGGTCGTTTTTTTTTGTACAACTCGTTTAATTATAATATAATATTTCATTTTTTTTTAAATGGAACAATAAAAACAACACGTTGAAAAATTGAAATAACAACTTTTTTGTTTCGTTTTAATTGGTAACAAAATCAAGATGGCCATTTGAAGCCGAACTTTGCAACGTACAACTTTAGGAGAGGAAACGCGATATCAGATATCATTAAAGAGGGATGGGCAAAGTCAAAGGAAATTCGGTTTTCAAACGGGAAAAAACGTCAATACCGTCCGTGCGAGTGTCTTAAAGCAAACGATGATCATCATTATTGTCGCTTGTACTATTATGAGTGTCTGGAAAGGAGCAAACGGTAACTTCGTTAACATATTTTATAAGCAAGTAATAATTGGATTTTGTCGGAAACGTCACGGCCGTTGGCTGTATTTAAAAAAAATACATTTTTTTTTTTTAAATTTACTCGGTTTTACAAAACACTAACAAAAGTGTACACAATTATGTAAGCAACAATAAACGCTGATTGGCTTTAAATTCATTCCGTTTTGGAATATTATTCACTGTGAACAGACGATTTTGGTCCTTTTCATCACCGTCGCAACACCACAGAGTGGCACATGAATAATATACGCGGTAAGTCCAGGTTAGATGCTCTTAAAAATAACCGAAATGAAATGATTTTCCCTGAACACACTAATGTTCTACGTTTTAGTTACTATGCAAAATACACATTACACCAAAAAAATACTATACGAGCATAGATAATTACTTGTTAAGTCCAACAGAGTAAAACTCACCAAGCATTCATGGTAGGGAAAAATACCAAATATTCTACTGCCCCCCTCCCCCTTTAAAAACAACCTTGATCTTAACATTATACTTAAACATTGCTCTTGGCCGTACGACTTGGGATACATTTTTATTGGTAATCGTTTTTGCTGGATATAATTCAAATGTCTGTGAACAGGTTCAGAACGTTTAACAATACTTGCTAAAACGAATGTAATATAAATATATACCGTTTTTCTTCACTATACACGGAGGTCGAGTACTTAGAACCTTCAATTTTATAATATACTGCATATTTTCTCAACACATCCTCTCTAGCTGTTGTTATGATCATTTAAACGATATGTTTAGCTGTACAAGTATACATAAGTATTAACACTTCCGTCGGAAGCAACGGAAATCACCAGCTAATTAAGTAAAATTAGTTATTATAATAAGGCGATAAAACTTAACGCCATATTATTATGTGTTTTGAGGTCATATTGTGTGTATATTAAAAATATATCTATTTTTAAAGGGTTCACAATTTTGGCGGTACAATCTTCGGGCAAAATCTTCTAAGAAAAAATAAAAAACGTCTACTTTAATTTATGGGACACTTTGGCGGCGGCGTTAAAGGGCGACATAAATTTTAAAATAAAACTATACAGGGTGATCGATTCGACGCGAGGCACTCATTTTCTTGGAAAATATAACATAAACTTTATTGGTTTTTTTTTTTGTTTGTTTGAATACGTTCTTATTTATTTTATTTTAAAATACTATGAACCTAAATTTAAACCTTTTATTAACTTTAAAAGTAACAATCGCGGCGTTGAATCGATCACGCTGTATGTGTACAAACTTTTTCACCTTCGTCGCCATTTTGTAAGTGTGTAATGTATGTAATATATATACAGGGTGATCCATATGATGGAAGACACTAATTTTATCGGAAAATATGAATATCAAAAAAAAGAAAAAAATGTTTTTCTATACTTGTAGTAAAATATATTTTACTATATTTCATAGTGTCCTCCGATCCGGAAAATGCCCGGATATAACATTAAACATTACAGTAATTAATACCCAAAACAAAACTAAGTACCTAGGCATAATTTTGGACAAGCGATTGACCAGGGGACCTCACCTCAAAGACAAAAGGAAAAAAGCCAACAACCCACCACGTCGACTTAAACGCAGACCTTTTGACATAACAAAATAACGACAACATAAAACCAAAACTAAAATACTATAACAAGACTAATGAGGTGTTACCACTGGGTGACTTCCTTTGACGTTACTAATGCTATGTACATAAAATGTCACAAAAAAAACTTATTGTAAATTTATTTTGTACAGATTGTTTTTTTTCTAATAAAAAAATTAATGAATAATTCATAGTGCTTAAAACATTTTTCCCTCAAGCAAAATTTAAGTTTGAATTAAGTAAGTTTCATCGTAACAACATTGTTGTTAAATTCTGTTTGTTAAGTGTTAGCGAAATTTTGGTCGGGTTATACCAAAGAGGTTATATACCTCGGTTCCAACGTTCTCTTTGGTCGGTCACCGCGAAATGTGATAACTGATAAGTGATAACCGGTTACAATCAAATGCCGCAATATTAGTGCAACGTATAATTGGCGCGATCTATGGGGCACTTGCACATCACAATACACAGACTTACCGGTAAAGCCGGCGGCATCATGGGCACCATGTGTAGGTAAGTGCACCGGCCATGTCGGTCCCGTTCCGGGGACGGGCTGAGCTGTTGGTGCTGTTGCTGCTGTAGCCGACGCGGTGACAGTACGACCCTGTCGTGTTGTGCGGCCGCAGCCATCATTGGGATCCACATTGGCCGCCGCTGTTTACGTGCCGCAGCCGCCACTTAACCCGCGCCCGTGACGTGCCTAAGTTGTCAGGTTGTCCGTCACACCTGAAACAAAGTTGATAACGTGTAATGTATACAATGTCTTTGGCGTAAAATGCCTGGAGTAGGCGTGATTCGCTGATAAGGGAAGTAATATCGAGGGAAAACCCAGTCGGGATGAGAAAATAAGTTCAAACTCATTGTACACGTGGTAATGTGCTCAATGAATTGTATTTTTACTGTTAGAGTAGTAGTAACGCAATTTTGATCGAAAACTTTATTCTTTAGACGCCAAACATATTATGCGTAACTGCTTTATTTGATATGTTTTGGGTTTTCCTAGTAAAAAAACGACACATTATGATGTACACAATATACCTGACAAGATATCAACTGAAAATCGATATCAACCGGTAACTATATTAAATCGTTTACACGTCATTGTGTTTTTAATCGTGTGTTGTTTAGTCTTGTGTTTTTTTTTTTCCAGAAAGTTTGAATACAGATTTTTAAAAAAGTATGCATAAATGAGTTTCAATCTAATACACTGAGTCGAGTCCTCTTTACTAGCTGTGTATTTTTTTACATAGTACATTACACCACGTGCAAAACAAGTATTGTGATATTATAACCGTTTGGTATAGGTAATTTATATTGGGTAAAATTTAATCAAATCGGGTTTGCCGACACCATTTGATATTATTTTAAACAGACCGAGTGTCGCGTATCAAAAAAAAATACAATATATATTTATATTATTTTAACATGGGTACATAATATTGTGATTTTTTTATTTAGCGCGAAAAACATATTACATTTCTAATTATTACATTGTCGCGACCAAGACGAATTACTTTTACACCCGAAAATGTAAATAAGTGTATCGTATATCTTCTCTCTTTTGTGTAACATTACCGTCAATGGGGGGGTTTTATGTAAATGTGTAGAAATACAATAACAGAGTGTTATCAGGTTATTCTAATACGATGTAACGTGCTAAGCCATTGCCGCCTTCTTCTCCGGCGCTTTGCATCGAATTATCTGGAAATTGTTGTTTATAAAGTATGCAAAAATCGAATAGCGACGATTAAACCTGTGTGTGTGTGTGGATAGTAAAGAAACCGGCAGAACAGTGAGATACTAAGTGAATCTTTAAGACGATTACAAGTGTATTTTATACAGCAAGCTATATTATTGCTCTGAAACGCCATATCGTTTTTTTTTTTCAATTTCCATTTGCGCTTCAAACGAATATCAACGAATATCTATTGGCTATGGTTTATTATTTGGCTCGTCGTTGCCGCCAGTGTCTTTGCTTATAGGGGTCACAATAAGAAACTCTCAAACGGTCGGTTAGGTTATCCGCGTTAGACTTTTCCCTGTGCTGTAAACGCCTATAGTTTCACAAAAGCTGCCCCGGGACCGCGGACGAGGGTATGTGTCGGAAGTGAAAACGATTCGGAGAAGGGAAATTTGTTTGCCGGTTGTTTTCGGGTAAACGATTTTTTTTTTGTTTTTTTTTGCGGTTCCAATACATCATGCTGTACCGCCCAAGGTAAGCTGTGTATCCGCACTACAGTGTATAATCTCGGCCATAACATGTAGAATATGCAACCCAGGAGCCGGAGGGAAATTCGTTTGCTTTTGACGTGCACGACCCACCAGGTAAACACATGTTTGCACGCTTTGTGTTGTCGTTCGAATAAGTCGTTTGATGGTAGACAAATGGTACTCGGGAAAATGTCAAATAAAATCCCGAGACGCAGAAACTTCAAAGGAGTCGGACACGATTTGGCATAGAACAATGGCTATTAAAGTAAAATCTTTAATACCGCTTAATGGCCAAAACTACGGGGTTGAGCGTTCACGTTTAAGCACTACTGTAAACACGAGTTTGGAGGGTGCCCGTGTTTGGTACAAAAATGCAGTGCATAATTAAATTATATTAGTAAACACGAGCATCGTTTTCAGTCTTAGTTAATCGTTTCGCCGATTAACACCTAACCGCCGCCAAAGGGATACGGTCGAGGGATAAGACATTATAATTTCTCCTACACGAGTGGCTGTGATAGCCATTTGTGACGTTTGTCTTGACAAATGTCCATAATATTGTTCGCACGGTAGTTTTTGACTTTTTATTATGCGTGTTAACAAAATAAATTTAAAAAAAACCTCGTCATAACACTGGCTTCCACAGCTTTTGCGGACGCTCTATCATCACTCGTCTTGTGATGTATATAGTTTCAAGTTTGCACCATACACATCTGTGCAAGCATTTTTCCCAAGTGTGGGAGGCCACACAGTGTTGGCAATGGGCGTGCAGAAAAATAAAACGACTCGGTTTGTCGACCCGAACCCGAGAAATATTTTTAATAATTTCCACATCGCAGTGTTTCTCATTTGATTAAAACGTCCGGCAGAGGAACTTTTAATGGCTGTTAAACCCCGATGATTGATTCGTCGAGCGTTCTGTCCAATAGCCTTAGGATAGTTTTGAAGAAACCGTCGACGTGGCGCATTGTGTGCGTCGGATATTTGAAAAGGATATTTCGCTTATTGAAAAGGCATTGTCCGTTTCGGCGAAAGATTTACTTTTGAACTTATTGAACTCTACGCTGTTCACAACTATACATGCACACGCGAGCAAACATCTATTCGCTTCTGGGCTCGTTTGCGGCAATGGAACTCTTACAATATAGGTATGATGAAGGTTAATACCGCATAGCATTGTACTCAAACGTTTGTTCACGTTGAAAAATATAGAATTCGTAGATATATATATATATATGTACACATATATCTAAATTAAAATCCCTCATAAGGATATTATGGCTGTTTTCGATTCGTTGTATTGTAAAAATTTCAACAAACAGAACGTTTCCGCAAAAGAACGGCGACGATCACGTTTTTTTTTAACATACATATAATATATTTTCACTATCAGCTGCTAATAATAAAAAGAAAATCAATTATCGAGGAGAAATAATCTAAAAACATAGGCAGTTCGAAAATGTTAGATTTACTGTAATGTACAGCGCACAGTCTGGTTTTACAAATATGTTTTTTTTTTATAACAATTTATGACTCATAATAAAAAAAAAAACCCGAATATCGACAAAATGACAAATGGAAAACATTTAAAATGCGCATAAAGATGTATTGAAAAATTGATGATTTTATGTCATAATATAGACTTTGATAACTACACAAACGTTGTTTAGAATCAATATGTGGTATAGCATAACACATGTTTGCATTAAATTCAAAGTCGACCATTATTTCCACCAACCATACCGTTAAGTTCAAAGCGTGATCATTTGTTGTTTAGTCAGTATAAGAACATTTTCTATTGTTTAACTATTTTTTTTATGCAGACCAAGTTGCTTGTTTTAAATGAACGTTTCGATTTGCTTGCACAATAGTACCGTGTTGTTACAAATATTATAGTAAATACAAATTTTGTATGAAACCTTTTTTACCAACACATATTTGTATTTTAGTTAGCATAATAAAATAGTTCAAACATTGGAATAGGTGCCTAGACAAACGGCAAAACCGAATTCCTTAAAACAAAAATACACTTGTTTTCGACAATAACAAGTTCAGTTAAGAAACTTGTTGAACAGCTATGGCCTAGATGTATATTTTTAATAAAATTATAATAACGTACAAAAAACGACTAAACATTTTACTTGTAAACTAAGCGATAAGCTTGTATGAAAAAAAAAAACAAAATGTGTTTTTATGATTCACACCTAGGATATAAATAAACCGGTACATAGCATACATGGTATATTGCATATAGCACACGGGTGCTCATAATCCATAGTAAACTACAACAATTTTTTTTACAAATTTTAAGGTACTACTTATAAAAAAAAAATATTATGTTGCCGACAACTTTTATACGTTTTTTATTATTGCAAAAAATATTATAAGTAGTACAATTTTGTATTTCAATAAGTTATTTTCGTTTGTACAATATTGCCAAAACAAGTATGGAAATCGTTTCGATACTTATAAAACGTTATTGGTTTACCCGCTAAAAAAACGAAAATAGATTTCCAAAAAAAAAAAAAAAACTCAGTAAGGGCCTATTGAAATGGTACACGTGTGTGATAAGACCTTAAGACTAGTCGAAAATAACTGCTTTCTATCTCTTATTTAAATAGGTCATGATGGTTTTGTCGATGCTGCTTTTTTTCTCAAGGGGTTGAGGGGGCATTAAAAAGATTTAATAGGTTTGGACTTCCGGGAAACACTTGTAGATCTCAAGCAACGTCTAAAGATTATTAAATTGATTTAAATATTTAACGAGTAGATGTCATTTTTATACGATATGTTAATTTGCTGGTAAATTACTTTTTTTTAAAAATTATTTCATCAACAATACCGGGTGAAGAGTAATATTTTTGATTGCATTTTTAAACGGGACACGTTTAGGTCAATAGTAGACACGAACAGTATGCAGATTGTTCCTTGAACGAACTTTTAATCACCAAAAAACGCATATTTTAATCAAAGACCGTTTCCGTTGCAGAACGTAAAAAAAGACAAACGAGACATTTTAATGAGCATTGTAGTTTTCCGTCATTTCTCGTGTTGCCTTTGGCGCAATTACAAGACCGTCTACTTTTAATTACATTCCGTTTGTTCTCAACCCGTTATTAGCATGACAAAAATGTTCTGTCGTTTTGCTGTCCTTATGATTATATATACTATACTTGGTACCTAATTAAGTGGAATGTTGCAAATCGAGCTCTCCGTTTTAGACCGAATCGAGTTTGAAACCGTTTGTAAGACAGTTTAGTACATCTTACTGTATAATTTGTAAACTTCAAAAATATGTAGTTTTGGATTTCCTTTGCACGATACCGACTATAGATGGGTTTGTTTTAAGCGACATCTGTACAGAAATAACAATAATATAATTTATAATCTACGCAGTTTTATTTTTATGCGTTTTCAGTCGTTGACAAAAGTCATTTAGCCAGACGGGCCCGAATAAATACATACATTAACATAACATTAAACCGCTGCAATGGTCATTAGGTGTTTTTTTTAAC